TGTAGAGCAAACATTTTTCTACAAAATTAGATGTTTTACAGCTCTGAGAGAATCGTGATAACTGATTTATAGCAATTCTCCCGGATGCCCCAAAAGGTCTTCCGGCCAGACTGATCATCGCCATATAATTAGCCGTGTATTACCTGGTGTTCCTGATTGAGCGACATAAATTGCTTTTCTTAAATAGCTTGGAATTTGTCGAACTGTTTTAACACTAAATGTGCGCTTGCATATTGATTTAAATAACGATATCTGATCAATATCTTGGAGAGCACCACGTCCCTAAGTAAAAGAACATGCCAAGAATAGTCATTATGTTTTTTGACTTTCCAATTTTACAAATACAATTCAGTCACTTTTGATAGATTTGCAGCTGCACCACCTATCAGTAACACAGGACTTTCAGCCATTTGTGCATTTTTAATGGCGGTTACTGTATTTGTTAATCCTTAATAAGAGTTAAATATTTATGCATAAATCCAACAATTATATCATTTGAAAAAGCCTACCTGGACCGGCAGTGACAACACAAACTCCAATACGTCCACTAAGCCTTGAAACAGCATCAGCAGCGAACGCCGCATTGACTTCATGTCTTGTATCAATGATACGTATTCCACGTTTTTCACATGCCACTAAAATTGGTGAGATATGTCCTCCACTTAAACAAAATACTTGTCGAATGCCATGTGTCTAAAACAAATCAAAATTAATTGTATGTTTGAAAGATCTAGAAAAAAAAAACTTTTATTTCACACTCACTGACTTTTAACACATCAGCTACAAGTTCACCTCCATACGCGGTACTTTGTTCATCCGTCTGAAATAGTTTAACAAATATACATGGTAGGTAGTTTTTTTCTTCAAATAAGATTCTTACTTTATACAAAATTGTATACAAAAATCGAGTTTTGTAAGTAATATATAGCATGATCATCACAAAAATGATCAGCAATAACACAAAGATTAGTATATATGACATCTAAAATTTAAATAGTTGTTCTGTCAAATACTGAAGAGTTTTCTCAATTTTCATTCAGCGCAGCATATAACTGCGTATTTAACAGTACTTTAAGTATACACGCTCTTTATTTTTACTACAAGGTAAAAGTTAATACCATTCACATTTTTCATAATCGTCTGTTTCATAATACATTTAATATACCGAGTTCTGCACCATACGGTCCCAAATATAACAACAAATTAGACTGGAGATATAAGTGAACCTTTTAAAACTATTACATTGCATTTCCATCTGGTTTAAGCTTTAATCTTGAACCAGAACAAAATCGAGAATATAACTTCCTATTCTGAACCTTAAACTATCAAAACACAAAACTAATCCTTGTATGGAGCTAGGATCGAACAGACGAAGTTGATCTTTGCAAGTGAACTGAAAAAAATTCCACTTCACTATTCTTTCCTATATTCTATTGAAGTTTTCCAATGACTCGATGTTATCCTTCTATGTATATTTTTTTGTTATGATTTTTGAACATTTTAATCTCATCTCATAGCGAAAGATATTCACACATATATATATATACACAAAATCACAAAACCGGTAGACTACAAACAAACCATACATTTGAACAAAAAAAAGAAGCTGAAAAACAGCAGAAAAACAGAAATCTACATTTGAGAGTGAGAAGTAATAATGTGCATAATTATTCATATTTGTCGTTGTTATCACATAAAACGACAATTTTGAAACACGTTTTTTTAAAATAAATTTTTGTTCATTTTCTTCGACATCTTTTTTCCAAGTACTTCACGATCGTTTTTCTCTTCTTCTGTGAACAAAAATAAATAGAATAACCAATCTTCGACATTAAAATATATTTACATATATATATATGTCTCAAAAAAGTTTTTTTTTTTAATTCTTCATGTTTTTACGTTCTGATTCTAATAACAATAGTTTTTCCAATTTTTTCTGATCTAAATGTATTTATCGTCGTTTCGCGTCGTTTTCAGTTTCATTCAGCGCATTTCTAAATCATCTTTAACTCAAGATTCAGCTAGATTTTTTATGCAATATTCTACTCATCTTAAATGAGTTATACATCAAGTTCTTCAAAAGAAAAATAATTCTACTTAAACTTGATATTATCGATCAACTTGGCTAAGAAAACTTACAATGATTTCACTCATCATTATGCAGATTCAATTAGCCATTTTTAGTTTGACTTTTTTTTATAATATTAGATCTTTTCGCTCATTGTTACTTGAAACATGTCACGATGAGCTGTTGACATAACAGATAACGATATGTGCTAAAAAAGTACTAAATTGAAGAAAAGAGTAAATAATAATATCAACAAAGATAAATTTACTAAAACAATAGTGCTTTGTTTTTGAAATATATATTTGTATACTGATTATAATCAAAATAATAACATTCAGAACGGGATAACTAAAATTCTCTATCAGTGAACAAACGTAAAAATGTATTCTGTTTACCAGATTGTAATACTTAATGATTAAATACCATTTATATTCGAGAAATGTATTATTTATTTGTGTTTAACAGTTTAAACATTAAACTTTCATAAGCGTAAGTTATCATATTTGTCGGAGAACTTTGTGTCAAAATATAATGTTTGAATTTTTTGTCTAACAGTTTTAAATTGTATAAAAAACAAACAAATATCTTTAGATTCATTTTTTGTTGATTTTTGATCTATGTCGGTGTTGAGTTGATGATGCATAACATTTTAATGATCCTAATTTTAAATCTTTTTCGATGTTATTTTTGTGCTTGTATAATAATTTGATGACGATATTAAATAATAATCACAACTTTCACTGGTCTTTGACTCCAACTTTTTGATTTTCTTATTACCGTTGCTGTATTTTATTATCATAAAATGTAAAATACTGAGTCTAAAAACTTTGTTTAGCCAATAAAAACAAACAAACAAGGGAATGTTATATTTTATAAGATGATTTAGATACTCGATCTTCGTTAAAAATAATATCGGATCTTGCTTTATTTCATATTTCAGTGATACAATGAGAACAGAATGTATTCAAGAATGTACAAGTTTTGAAATCGTTAAAAAAATAACTACAAAAATTTATTAATTACACTACTACGTATTAACCTAAAGAAAAAGAAAAGATCAGAGAATAATTAAATCTGCATTTATGGTGAAAGGTAACCCTAGTCTGATACTTCTGTGTATAGCCGTTTATTATTGTATTTAGACTCTTTTGACATATCATTGGTGCTCGCGATTCTCGAGCATTCATTAAATCATACAGACACATCCTTCTGTAAATTGTACTCACCGATTATAGAATGGTTAAATAATATTTCATAATCATTCCAAGCACTTTTTCAAGATTACACCAAATATTATTTATATGGTACGGATTAGAAGTAGTCATAGTAGATAAGATCGTTCTGATAACATCTGAGGATTAAATGAGAAGAAGAGATGATATACCTAAAAATAAAACAATGAAGCTATAGAATTATAACAGTATCAGATAAAAACTTAACTTATCAACTAATAAAAAATATAAATTTTTAATAACACATTCTATTTATTATCTCAAAGTTATTAACAAATGCACAAATATGCATACATAAGAAGAAAAAAACAACAACAGATTATTAACAAAACAAAATTTACTTTATAATTATTGTTTTTTTATTTGTTAATGAGTGAGTTAGTTTTCTCTAACGTAATTTTGAGTCTTGCTTGTTGATCATCGCTTGTTACTTGTAGCAATTTTGGCATATATTGCGTTGAAATCATTTTAATCAGTTTATTGAATTGTAGTCCGTAGACTTTAATCATTTCTTCAGCGGCTTCATCCAAAAATAAACGTAACAGTAACGCTATGAAAAAAAAATTAAAAATATCAAAAATTAAAATAATTTATATCTATCCAACCGGCTACCTGTAATATTTGGACGTGGTTCAAGATTAAGAATGTCTGAAAGCCATTTCCATGCATATTTCAGATCTTTATCGAATGGTGGACCACCCCGTACCAACAATTTGCAAAACAGACGAACAAGACCGCTCATACGTGATAAAAATTCAGATTCAGTTTCCATGCGTTTATCTTTGCCACGGGGGATTTCAACATAACCAGCCTCTCTAAACATATCCAAAACAATGTGTCTATAGCATTCCAGTTTACCGAGACAATGTACACCATATCAGTAAACATTACGTATTTACTTCAAAAAGTCTTCCTCGGTCATTGATGGTAAACGTTGTGGATACCGTGGAATTGTATACTGACAATGTTCATGTAAAGTTTTTAAAAATATATCTGTAAACTCTTTATTCTTTTTATCTTCACTTATGAATGCAATTAGCGGTAAAAAGATTTCGTCCTTTATTTTTGTCATATCACCACCTAATAATTGGCCAAATATTAATTTAGCAAGTATCCGCAGACAGGCCAAACGTTCTACAACGAAAATAAAACAAACAGAATGTAAGATTATACAAAAACTCTCATGATAGAATTTCTCCAAGTGATTCATCGCTTTTTCTTTGAAATATACTCGATAATAGGTAATTTTTGATGCTGATCACGAATTTAGTATTCGTCTGCATATTGCTGTTACGAGTATCGTCTTGATGATGGGTAACTTTTTTGACCAAAAAGTGTTTTTGGAATCCACGAATTCTGATCTGTGTACGTTGTAAAGCATGTCGCGTTCCACACAGAAAATAATTTTAAGCCCGAACGATCAAGTCCTTAGACAGATATAACATTATTACTCAGCAAAGGGGTCTACTCAAATACATACACTGTGAAATATAGCTACCTTTATGAATAATTATCCATTTAGAGAAACCAAAAGCTAGAAACGGCAGATTGTGGGAGAATAATCAGTTACTGATACTTAAAAACAAGGATGTGGATCAGAAGAAAAGAAAGTATTTCTAGATAAAGGATATGTATTTGAGTAGATCTCTTTGCTTAGTAATAATGTTATATCTGTCTAAGGACTTGATCGTTAGGGCTTAAAATTATTTTTTGTGTGAAACTCGACCAGACATGTGCGGCGATCAAAAATTTTCGGCGGCGGCGCGAGGCTATGAAAATTTTCTGTACCTTCGGCGGCGGTGGTGCGAGGTTATGAAAACTTCCTCCGCCTTCGGCGGCGGCGTGTAAATATTAGTTGTTGGCGGCGAATCTCATAATTTAAGTAAAACAACGTTCTCTTTCATTTCTGGCACGTTCTTAGCGCCCCGACTGTATCTGTACGTTGCCGTATACGAAAAGATAGAAACGCGCTGCACGCTAAATGCCTAAGATAAGAACGTACTAACCAAAATAGTCAAAATTTTCGGAAAAAAATTTTCTCCGCCCTCGACAAAAGTTTAACGACATGGCGGCGGCGGAAGTCAGCACAGTTTTTTTCCGCCGTCAGCGGCGGCGGCGGAAGTCGTAATAATTTTTCTCCGACTTCAGCGGCGGCGGCGGTGGTGAATCGGCGAACCGGCGCGGCGGCGCACATCTCTGAACCCGACATGCTTTACAACATACACAGATCAAGCTTCGTTGATTCCAAAAACACTTTTTGGTCAAAAAAGTCACTGACACTCGTAACAGCAATATGCAGACGAACGAATACTAAATTCATGATCAGCATCGGGAAATTACCTATTATCGAGTATATCTCGAAGAAAAACCGAGAGTTATTTGGGGAAGTCTCCTCAACAGAAACCGACTTCAAAATTATAGAGAAACTTACCTTCTTCAGATGATACACGTACTGCTTGATTGCTAATATATTGTTCTTTTCCATTTAAAAACTCAATCATCTCATGACTTAGGACATCAGAATTTTCTACTCGTAATTTGTTCACAATATCTTTAATACGGTTTGTTAGTAACTTCTTACGTTGAGGATTATCCGTTACCGATTTACATTGCTGTTCATACACTTTGACTTTCTTCAGTAACTCTTGATATTTATTGGACGTTTCTTCATTAATAAATACATTAATTGAAGATGATAGTTGAGCTGGATTTGAAGAAGCAGACAAAACAGGTTGCGACAACATTGCAGATGATGGAGTAGCTGTAACAGGTTGCGACAACATTGCAGGTGATGGAGTAGCTGTAACAGGTTGCGACGACATTGCAGATGATGGAGTAGCTGTAATAGCTTGCGACGACATTGCAGATAATAGTTGAGCTGGATTTGAAGAAGTAGACAAAACAGGTTGCGACAACATTGCAGATGATGGAGTAGCTGTAACAGGTTGCGATAACACTGCAAATGATGGAGTAGTTGTAATAGGTTGCGGCAACACCACAGCTGATAACGCAGATACATCAGTTGGTGAAACTGGTGTTGGTGTCAGGATCAACTACAAAAAGAAGGAATGAAAATTGTTTTTTCTTTCTGAAATACATATACTTTGTAGTGCGGTGATAGGAACAAATTTAAGTTGTTTAATACCAAAAGCACATTTTACCGGAAAAAACTTCTATATACATCAAACACTATATCAGCAAAAACAACGTTTTGCTTTTGTCCGGAGTAAAATAAGATTGTCCCAATATACCTCTGGGTTTTTTTCATCCACATCTTTATATTTTGGTTCTGATGAAGTTAATCGATTCTGATATATGTATTGTTCAACAGTAACACGCGATTCCATACGTATCTCATCTGAATCATCTTTGTTTTGTTGTTCGAGAATATGCCAGAAACAAACTAAAATACTAATAATGCTTAAGTTCAGAAAACTGCAGCAATGCAACAAACATACGTATGTCATTGGCGGGTCCATAAGATGGGAACTTTCTATAAAAAAATGCTTTGATATACAAACATCATAGAAGTAGAATATTGAATTTACTTTGGTTGAATTGCTTCAACAGCTTTTTGTTTTTCAGTTTCACATTGATAAATATTTTGTATAATTGTTTCTATCCGCCTCTAGTAGAAAACATAATGAAAATCACTTATGATAGACTAATAAAGCTAAAGATGATGCTCACCCGTGATTCAAGATTTATTTCCCGAACTTCGTTCATTGCTTAAACATTTTAGAAAATGAGATCTAAAAAAAGACAAATATAAACAATATCATTCATAGATATTGTGAACTAAAAGCAGCTCTTTTAGAGGCAATATGTGATTTTAACAAAAAGGAATACTATGGATTAGACATTTAGATTTATGCAACAGGATACTCTACTTGGAAGTGTTGCAACAAAATCAAATTTCACGAGAGACGAATCGCTATCGAGAAAAAAAATTGTTTTAAATTTATTTTCGGCTACTGAATAGAAGACTTTATGGAGTCCACCTATAAGGAGAATGAATTAGCGTTCGCACCCTTAGTAGACACGACATGCTTGCGGCCATTTCGTTGTGCAATTCTACTTATTAATAAGGTTTTCCGCGTGTCAGGTCAAATAAGCAAAAGTAAACATCGGCTTCTTTGTGTGCGAGAGATAGATTCAGAGCTACGGTACGGTAGAAGAACTATACTGATCATTTTTAAAGTCAGATCTGTTGAATATAAAGAACAGTTTCCATCGTTACAAAAGTTAATAATGCATTTCAAGAGAAAATTACAAACGGTATCGTTGTCGAGCGATAAATTATCTTACTATTAATATGAGAGTAATTCAACAAATTTATTGTAGATAACTCTGGAGACCACTTACTACTTTCTGATTAGTTGATTGCTTATTAGCTCATTAAATTTATGAAGTATTAATGAAAACAATACAATAATACGATAGCGACTAAAAGATCAATTAAAGCTGTATTATCCTTTTAGCCAATCTCTTTTCAAGAATTTTAGATACCTTAGCAACGTGCTTACTATCTAGTTAGCTTCAAATTCGATTTTATTCATTCTAAAGTGATCATATGCTAATCGAAATAACAGTTGTGAGGATACTTTATATTTCGTTTGATGTTGCAAGACAAGAAGGAAAATTTCCCAATTTCTTAACCTATAAGATCCTGCTTCAATCACTACGTAGCTGTAAGAAGCATCATGTATGTGAAGTTTGCGGCTGATGGTTATTGAGTATAGAAAAATTATTTAGTTTATTACGTTGTGACAATTTAATTTACGTTTTTAGATATTAAGTACTTCGGATAAAAGCACAACAGTCCCTAGCGATAATTATCATGTCAAATAATCGACAACAAAATGTAAATATTCTGTGACTTTAGTCTACTGCAAAAAGGAACTGTATTACTAGAAAATATCAAAATATGTTGAAATCCTTCAACTTCAAATAAAGTGCCTTTTTGTCTGGAATATAATTGCTTATTTATCCACCTCTTTGTTACACTTTGTCGCAATCTAATTAAATTATTTGTTTAACGTTTGTTCAGTATTATCCATCGAATCGTGGTGGTAATTATGGTCAACATCCTTATCCAAATCGTGAGCGTCTTTAAATAGTCTTCTTTCTTTTTGTTTAATTACTTCTGCCATTAATATTATCTCAGATGGAAATACTCACGGAAATCGAAATAATAACAATCAGCAGTATGAACCGCAAGCAAACTTTAATAATAACGGATGGGATTCAAGTGCATGGCAAAATTATTCCTCGAACGAGTTCGATCAAAGAAATCATCATTATCAACAAGGTAGAGGATCTAATCAACAACAACGGGGAAATAGGCATGGTCATCGACAAGGAAATAGCTATCAACAACAAGCATCTAATAGTAATTCGAATCAAGGACAAAGACCGCAACAACATCGACAAGGACAGACAAGTTCAATGATGGTAGTAAGTAATCAAACATAACAATTTACATTGTCTGGTACTTTCTGCTTTTCTAGCCATGCGATGAATATATGCCAAAAGATCAGGTGTTAAAAGATGTCGAAGATGGAAAACTTATACGTGGTATTTTACGAATAAATGCTAAAATATATACCGATTCATTTATTACAGATCCGGTGTGTTTGCGTTCTCTCTTTGTAAAAAAAGAAAAATATATATTATTTATTATAGGCGGGTGGAAGTGATTTTTATATTGATAATGTGCGTGATCGAAATCGTGCATTAAACTCAGATGAAGTGGCAATCATGGTTAAACAAAAACGTGAATGGAAAGTTATACCAGAATGTAGCTTATTGGTAAGAAAATAAAAGCGTGCTATCCACAATAATTTAAAACATATAATAAACAACTTGTTGAAAAATAAAAACATATTAAGTTCTATTATTTGTTCTTTATTTAGGTTGAACGATTCATACATCAAATGCGACAAGCTAACGCGGCTCAAAATGACAGCAGTGTTATACCAGCTTCAGAGACAGGCGAAATACGAACAGAAGATCAGAAACAAGATGAAGTGATAGGAAAATCTGATCAAGGTACCTTTATTTTATTTATTATGAGTAATTTTTTTTTAATAATTAACATCTGCAATTTAGAAACTGTTGAAGGTGAGTTATCTGCTGATGCAGCATCAAGTGTATCAAAGTCACCAACAAAAGGTGGTCGTAATGATAGACGCGATACGATCTCTTCTATATGTGGTGACAATTCAGTATTAACAGACGAAATGGTGAACAGAATACCCGATGAATATTTTCAACGTACAGCGAAGGTAAATCATGTTTTCATTTATTTTTCATATAAAGTCAACAGGTTTCTATATTTAGGTTATTTGCCTTTTAAATCGTCGTCACACAATGAAAGCAGCTGGTTTATTGCGTAAAATGCCTGACAACAGCCCGCATTATGCATTATTTTCTCCTATGGACAGTCGAATACCACGATTAATGATACCGATGAAACAATGTCCAAGCGGTATTTGAATTTATCGTTGACTTGAAAATGCGTATTAGTTATTGTTTGTTTTCGTGTTATAGACTTTTACGATCGACCAATGGATTATGAAAAATCTTTGTTTGTGGCAAAAATTATTGAGATTCCAGCAGATAAAAAATTTGCTCGTGGGTACGCTAACATGGTTTTTTCTCTTCTTGTCACAAAAATATATATTCAGTTTTTTTTCATTAGAGAATTAGGTGAGAACTTGGGAGATGCCGATACACTTGAAGCACAAAGTAAAGCAATATTAATGGAGAATGACATACGTGATGAAGAATTTAGCGAAGAAGTATAAAAATTTGCTCAAATATTTGTAACACCTGTTTTCTACTTCATAATCATTTTAGGTAATTAAATGTTTACCGTTAGATAAAGAAAAATGGGAGATACCAACTGAAGAATATGAAAAGCGTTTAGATTTACGTCAGTCGTGTATATTCACAATTGATCCAGCTACTGCTAGAGATTTAGACGATGCGTTGTCATGTGAGCCTTTAGAAAACGGTAAGCTTCAACAATTACGAACAATGTCTTTACTTTGGATACATTCTAAAGAAATAAGGGGTACCGAAACTAATCTTTGTTTTCTTTTTCTAGGACATTACAGAGTAGGAGTTCATATTGCGGATGTCAGTTATTTTGTATCAGAAAAATCTGTATTAGATACAGAAGCATCTACTCGAACGACAAGTGTTTACCTAGTGGAGAGGGTAAAACGTTGACACTAAAAGATTATTCATTTTATGCATACACTTGTTTGTTATCTAGGTAATTCCGATGCTGCCAAGGCTTTTATGTGATCGACTATGCAGTTTGAATCCGAATGAAGATCGTTTAACATTTTCGGTTATATGGACATTGGATGAAAATGGACAGGTAAACCATTTATGTTTATCTCAACCTTTACCTGTCAGTATATTTTTTTAAGATATTAGATGAGCACTTCACACGTAGTATAATACGATCGTGTGTGAAGTTAAGTTATGAACATGCACAAGTAAGCATACAATCAGGAGTATCTCACTCACTTAGTACTATGAGATTACTTTTGAAGGATTTCATTGATCATCCCGATAAAGATTTTAAAGCCGAAGAATTGCCGCCAATATGTAATAATTATTCTGTTGATGATATTAAACAAAAAGTTTTACACTTATATAAGGTAAATGGTGAAAATACACGAATTTATTAAGATATACAAGATCATTTACGTGTTAGATTTCAAAATGTCTTCGTACGAAACGCGCTGGAGCTTTAACATTAAATCAACCAAAATTACAATATAAAATTCAACCAAATACTAAAATGCCATTAAGTTTTTCAATTTATCAACAAAAAGATAGTAATCGGTGAGTTTTCACAAAAAATTAAATTCCTCCAAATAGGCAAAAATCCTTAGAATTACAATTATTCATTTCGATTCAAGATAAAATCTTTTTTTAAAATCATTGTTAAACGAGTATAAATTCTTTGTGAAGATCGAGTTCAAAATCACCACAGTCTATCTTAAATTTTGCGATTATAATGTTACTATCACGTATTTTAAACATGATTGAGTATAGAACTAAATGATTGATTTTTGTTGAATATCTTTGAAACAGGCTTCTCTAGGTTTCGCCGTTTTATTCGGAAACAAACATTGCTACGGAATTCAGACTAGTCAATGATCTTATGTTTCCATCCATTTTTAAAATTACACAGACACTTTCAGGTCTGCTTCTAAGACTTCCAGAAAAAAATGTTGCTATCTAGAAACGATGGCAGATGAGGATTTCAGACTTGTGTAGAATTGAATATTATAGTCTGCTAGTGTAAATTAGGACTCTATTTGATTCGGTCGATCCCATTTGTGGGATTACACCATATATTTATAGAATCCGGACCATTTTCTATAAAAACATGGATAACATTTGAGTGAAGATAGATACAGACTTGTGGTTTTTGATATTCAAAATAGGAGGCATGGTGATATAAGCAAAGCAATCTTCAAAATTCGTTTTCCAATAAGGTTGTCTAGGAGATCTTCGAAAAACCGGGTTATAGTCAGAAAAAGTTGAAATACAAATCTACTGAAATTTTTCTATGGAAGATAGTCTAGAGTATCGGATTTTCTAGGAGCCCCAGGATCGGGTTTCACTAACTTTTGGAAACGTCAGAAATGGATGAAACATAGATTATCGATCATGTTGAATCTCGTGACAATGTTTGTTTCCAGAAAAAGTTCTGAAACCTGCTGAAAATATGTGCACAATCCATTTTTGGCTATTTTCATAAAAAAAATAAAAAATTCATAATTCAATCAAAATCGATCCAAACTACTGCAAAACACAAACATACACTCTATTTATCTGCTCAGCTTGATTCTATACTTAAGATTAGTAAAAAAACATTTGCTTATTTCTAAAGGTTTCTAGAAAATCTTTTCAAAGCCGAGTGCTTTTTATTCAATTTTAAAAATTTTGTTCCACTTAAGTTATACTGGATATAAATAGAGTGTATGTTTGTGTTTTGCAGTAGTTTGGATCGATTTTGATTGAATTATGAATTTTTTATTTTTTTTATGAAAATAGCCAAAAATGGATTGTGCACATATTTTCAGCAGGTTTCAGAACTTTTTCTGGAAACAAACATTGTCACGAGATTCAACATGATCGATAATTTTAAGAAATTGGGAGCAAATCAGATCAAATCAACTATTGTTCGGTCTGGAATCAAGTCATCATCATGCGGAGCTCTGGTATAAATCTACCTATCGGAGTAAACAGACCGAAGGTTTGTTTCTCGCATTCGCAAACATTTGAAGATGAATCATAATAGTTCACAACAGCGTTCAAATTGACTAATAAATAACACGTTTATAAGAATGGAAAGCAAGAGAAATGAAGGTGTTATATAGAGTGATGTCGGCCTGTCCACGTAATGCGTGATTCCGTTACGATTTTTGTTGTTTTGCGAGTCTCTTGGCGCTCGAACAAAAGAAAACTCAAGGACCGTTTACATCTGGTCTTCTAGAGAAAAGTGAGCTGAACAAAATGTGATATTTTCTGTTTTCGCAGAATATCGTGGTCGTCAAGTACAACAAAATTTTTACGAGCTTCAATCAAAAGTCCGCCAAAACGGGGCTCGTAAAACTTTTGTTATATTTAAGAACCACAACACTACGGAAACAAAATATCGCATTTTGTTCAGCTCACTTTTCTCTAGAAGACTAGCTGTAAACGGTACTTGAATTTCCTTTTGTTCGAGCGCCAAGAGACTCGCAAAACAACATTTCATGACAGAATCACGAAAAGGCGACTGTTACGTGGACAGGCCAATGTAGTTAATTTTTTACTGTTCTTTTCTTGACTTTTTCCACACTTTCCCATGTCTGTTATCAAGCTTCACAATGCCAACATCTTATAGTTTCATCACAGCTTTTCCTTTCTTTTTCTTTTTCAACCAACTTCTTCAGGAAATATAAAGTTCACCTTTTTTACATATCATAGCAAGAGATTTTTATACTACAATGCCAATTTTAAATGGAAATGCATTTAAAAGTGATTCAGATCATCTGCAGTAGCCTCTCCTCTCTTCGGACATACTTCTAAAAAGATGTATGTGTACTGTATTCTGAAATGGATGGAAAGAGCGTTACTAATAGTTTTTAACTGTGTTCTTGTTTTAGTTTGGTTGAAGAATTTATGCTTCTAGCCAATATACAAGTTGCGAGAAAATTATGTTCAGATAAAAATATACAAGAAAAAGCAATTTTACGTCGACATCCAGCACCAAATCCAACAACAATGCAGTCGACATCAAAACAATTGAAAGCTGCTGGCGGTGCATTTGATGGAATATCCTCTACCAGCATAGCTGATTTTCTTCAATTTATTGATGATGAGTCGAAAAAAGCACTATATATACATTTACTGGCGAAATCCATGCAGTTAGCTATTTATTGTTGTGCATCATGTGTTAAAAATGAGGATTATAGGCATTATGCATTGAATGTTGAATATTACACACATTTCACTAGTCCAATAAGACGGTATCCAGATATTCTTGTACATCGACAGTTGGGAGCTATCTTAGGTGAGAAAAAATGTTTATCTGTCAAAGTGTTCCACTAGGAAATATAGTCGCTACGAAAGTTAGTCGAGAAATTTGTAATAAAAGAATAAAAGCTATTTTTAAACAGAACCTCGAATGTTAAGTGTAAAGGTAAAAATTCACACTAAGTATATTAATACAATGATGTTATACGAAACTGATAATTGAGACAAATAAGTTGGACAGATACAAAAGAAAATTATAGCAGTTTATAAATTATGAGCAAGTGCTTCTAATCGTTGTAGTAATGTTGGATGTGGATGTGTAATTAAATGACGCGGACGTTTATTATGATTTAAATACCTTTTACTTGGTTCATCTTTTTGACCAGAATTAAGCTTAATCAATTGACAATGAATAAAATGTTCTTCGTTCTATAGACTTTCAATGAAAGCGCAAAGGGGAGGAAGCTGACATTGAATGATTGAGTTAAGACGACGATGCCCAGCTTCGGTTGATTATTCGTGGCGATTTTTTTTGTACTGTTGTACTGAGTGTAAATGTTTTTTGGAAGAAAAGTGTAGTCCACTCTTCTGTAATAGCTCTGTATATAACCTCGAAACAACCTGCTGATCTGATGATTTTAATATTAAAAGAAATTATAGTCTCTAATAATTTGCTAACCTTAGAGAAATGTCTGCTCCTTTGAAGTAATCAACAGATTCCTAAGCAACTTCGGTCTGTTCTTTTTTTTGTATCTGTATAACTTATTCGTCTCAATGAAAGTCTTTTCTTTAAAAAAAGCTTTTATTCCAACTTTACAAATTTCTCGACTAATTTTCGTAGCGACTATATTTCCTAGCGGCCATATTTCGTGGCGACCAATTCTCCGTGACCAATTTTCGCTCGACCTTTTTTCTTTCGACCATTTTTCGTAGACCCGTATACCCGATTCTCTTTTTTTTTTCTTCATCTGTAGCATTTAGCATTTTTCGTGAACTTTACTTTAGGCTATAATGAAAGTCTTCACCAACATCCAAGAACTTTAGAACAATTGGCACAGCAATGCAATGAAAAGAGAGTTAATGCAAAAACGTGTTCAGAAAAAAGCGCTGAATTATATTTAGCTGTCCTTGTTCGAGTAAGTTTATTTTGACGAATGCAACTATTTTAGAGTTAAATATATATGATGTTTATAGGAATATGGTACCCTTCAAGATGAAGCACTTATTATTACTGTTAAAGATGAAAGTCTCGATGTATTGTTATTTCGTATTGGTGTTCCACTGCGTATTGGCATTAACGTAAGAATTTGTTTTCTAATTTATTGACGGTTCATCGGACAAACTATTTCAATTTATTGAAATAGTATCAAAATTCAAAATATTCTTCTGTTCTTTTCTTCTAGAATTTACCATTAGATCATCCACGTACAAACTTCAGAAAAATTGAAAATACTCCATATAATGAGTTAACGATCTATTGGAAATCAACTGATCGACCGGAGGCGATTAAACAAGTTCTCCGACCATTTGAACTTGTAAATATTGATATAACATCGGATTTCGATAAAAATTCAAAAAAATTAAAATTATCAGTAAGGCATTTTACAATATTTGCCATATTTTACATGATTGTTTAATATAATTGTTTCTTTTAAGGCTGTTTTACGGCATGTTAATGCTGAGAAATTAACAACACTTGCAAATTTGTGCTCAATAACAACACCTGCTAATAGTCCACCGAATCAGATTATTCAACGAATGGATTTTGATCCTTACGCCGAATATTAGGTAATGCGTGCACGATACGAATAATTGGATTTTTTGTTTAAAAGAATGTAATTCCAATTTCAAAATATTACTCTTTCCTTTGTATTTTTTTTTTCTTTAAACATTTTGTGACTGACATTGTGAACTTTGAGTAGCTTCAATTAAAAAAGATAAATGGATAAAATTTGTTTTTTTTTATCGCATAGTTAATTCCTGAACGAAAATATTTCTTCGATTTTTTTCGTTTTATTATAATCTCGATCTATATCAGAGTCACAATTTTCATACGATGATAGTCGATTCTGATCGTTCGATAATCCTCTTTTTTTTGTTATACATTGATTTGTTGTACGTGTTTGTTATTATCTTTTATCTTGTCATAAAAATAACTTATTGTTCACTATTCTCTTTTATTTCCAGCTAGTAATATGTCATATTTTATGAAAAACTCTAAATGATATTCCGATAATCAAAGTATGTTCAGATCTTCATTATATTTAAATAGTTTTAAGTGGGTTAGTCGAATATTTTCATCTCATTAATGTTTGTGTATTTCAATCTCGAAGTTAAATAGAGCATAATTCTTCGTTTATCAGGATCCTATAGAATAAAACATTAACTGACTACTGAAAATATCACTCTAATCAATGTGTCAGATTTTTTACACACTCTTATTACATAATTTATTTTTTCTTCGTCTACAGACAGAAAATAGTCTATCATATATAAATACATGCAGAAAGACATCTGTTTATGTCAATACTAGGAGCAATCAATTATCAGAGTTACCATGAAGATATTATTTCAAAACTGGGAAAGAACGCATCAAAACCTTCCTGTAGGTAAATCATTAGACAGATGAATGTAATATTTTTTAATGAAGATACAAACAAATAAAAAATCGATATTTTTAAAGATATAATAATAGTCTGTTAACTTCGTGTTCCATATTTTCTTTCGTGTTCATGTTTTCGTAGTTTAGTAAGGTCAAACTTCTTTTTCAATCAAGTTAATATTTTTTTTTCTTCACAGTATTTAGTCATTAGTAATTTATGTCTTCTACGCGTGTGCTGTCGAAGAGAACACGAAATAGTGACAGTTACATCCATTTTTCACTTATTAAATAATTAATTCAACCTTGATGGTTTTTTTTTTCTTCTCTTTTACACCTTGATTTCGATCTGATAGCCTTCTTTTTTTTCCGTCTTCTAGATGATAATATAGAGAATTAAAAAAAGTATAAACAGAATGAGAAAAAAGATGTGCTTATTTAATCATCATCACCATCATTATTGCAATATCAACAACATCATACCTGTACGATAATAAATAATACATTTGTTCCTCCTTTTCTTTGCATACTCCTTTTACCTGAACAAGCCGTTGGCGGAAACAATAGACGATACAGTGTTTGTAAACCAGCGGTCTTGCTACATAGAGTATGTAAAAAAAAAATAAACCGATATTGCTCTTTGCATATATATTTGGATGAAGTGAAGATTATTTAATTAATTATCTTTTCTTTAATTTATCTATAGAACAAATGGAATACACCGTTCCTTTGACTGATTGTGTTGGCTATGTTATTGAGCACAGTCATGTTCAAATTGTTTTAAATATTAAATATGATAGAAACAATGAAACAGCTGTGAAGAATTCATTTCTCATTCTGCATGTTACACCACGAAGTAAGTCTATATCACAGACACACATACATACTTCTTTTTAAAAAAAAACAACTAGTACAACTATTAGTCTTAAAGATACGCTTCTGTCCTTTTTATTTGATGTATTAATATTTTTTATCCATCTAATCTCAAGTCACATTTCTATCAAAAAAAGAAAACATCGATATACTCAGTCTTGTATGTAATCATTTTCGTCGATAAAATGAAATTATATAAAGACTCAAAACATCACAAATTTCTAACATAAAAAAAAACCAGAAGATTTCAAATCACAATATAGTTATTTAACATTTTTGAGTAGATATGACGTTACATCAACCGGCCTCTGTATTTGATTCAATATTTAACGAATTAAATGCTAGTACAAGTGCTGGAACCACACAAGAAAATATATCGTCAACAATCGTCTCAGTCCAAGCCCCCTTAACACCTTTAGTAAAGCCACTCAAACAATCTTCACCCGTATATGATGCCTATTGTTCACACCAAAATCAACAACAGCATGATTGTTCATCTACACTTTTACCAATGCCATCGCGGATGTCCTCTCATCAGAATGTCATCGCTCATCGTAATGAAATAAATCCAGTACATAAACACTTCGTATTGAATTCACCAACAGCTGTCACCGCTATCAAGTATATAAAAGTATATCAATCGAACTGTTCTTTCTATTCTCTTTTTTTACTTGTTATAGTCAGTCCTATCCAACTAAACAACCATCACCTGTCCTGACAAGATTGATAAATTTAAAACGACCTGAACCTTCAAATATGTCATTTCCAAAAACGGTTATTTGTTCATGTTTAAAACCAAATATCGCCCATGATCTCACCTGTCCAGCGTCTCACTGTCCCTCACCAGGCGAAGGACTATTATCACCGGATAATCGAAAACTTGCACCTACAACATCAGTTCCATTGTCTTTAACTGTGCCACAACAATATCAGTCTTTTACAGTGAAAAATTCACCGCCATTACCAGTTACAGCAGTTACTCCTTTAAATAGCAATCAACAACAGCAATTCACAGACTTTAATCCTCAAATTAAACTACCTCGGATCGATTTACAACAGTTTGACAATAATGTCTTGACGTTAAATGGAATAGTAATACATACATCACAAATTAATCAACAACAGCAAGGGTAACAATGATAACGAGTTGTTCACTGATGATATTCACTAAGTCTATTTAATTTTTTTCTTTCAGACAACATTCACCGTTATCTTCAGCTTCCACAACCGTTATTAATTCGTCACAACAGATACCGGTTGTCAAATTACAAGATATCAAATATATTCCAAATATATTACCACAACAAAAGAAATCACCGGTTATGGATCGACAAAAAAGTTTTCCTGTCGTCAATAATCGACGTAAGAAACGCGAACGAAAATCAGCAAGTATCAATCAGAAAGGATGTGAAAAAGTAGCGGTGTATGAAAATCAAAGATATTCAGGTAATATTAATGGGAACAAGTTACTTTGAAGGCGATGAAAAATTAAAACGAACTATAAATTAATTGTCTTCAAAATGATAGTTATATTTCTTCATTTCAGATGAACTCCATACGCAAAGAGAACTAGAACCGAGAGCTCAAACTCAGTTATCATTTATACAAAACTCGGATATCATTCAGAACGGATGTATTTCATCTCAAATGCCATTCATGTCAAATAATATTGTCATTCCAACATCAGCACAAAAAAATTCAATGCTGCAGCAAGTTGTAGTGAAAATTTCATCGCCTAACGATACAACGACTAATGCAAACATGAACGAGAATTTTTTATCTCATTCTAATACTCGTCAAATCCAACAACGACCGTTTTTTACAAACACCCAACAACAAATTTCACCCCTTCAGCGACAGTATAGCAAAGATGAGATAAAGGTATTAATCGTTCCGAATGACCACTTCTATTGTTTTTTTTATATTATAGCTAGACAATATTCGGTTATCTTGACCTAACTTTTAACAAAAAATGACAGATTATTTAAAAAACATAATCATATTAAAGCTTATTTACAGTTTAGCAGAACGATACATCTATTCAGCCAGATGTTTTTAATTAGTTACAGTATCATTTTCTACTTTAGATAACGCCATCTGTTAGTTCTGCAACATATCAAACTCTCAATTTACAACCTGTTATCAATCTTCAACAATTACAAATAAACAATCCAATATTGGTTACGTCGCCGATAAAAGCACTATGTTCTCCCGTTTCATCATCATGTCCACCTAACATTGCAATCAAACAATCGGCTATTGATCAAACAATCGAAGATGTTATTAGTGGTAAAGTTTGTTGTACATCTACTGGTATAACATCCAATTCATCCAAACCAAAACGTGCGAAAATTTCATGTCAGTCCACGCCAACATCACCAGATAAACCAAAAATATTTTTTACACCAATAAAAGGGAATCCTGCCGTATGGCAGCAACAACATTCCTTTGATTCAACTCAACAAAATTTCGTCAATTTGTCACATCAAGAATTTTCACATCTCGCAGAACAATTGATTTTCCAACCATTGCTTGAAAACACCACCGTCTGTAAACAGGGAAATATTAATAATTTATCTCATAAAACAATTAATAATAGTATTAAGGTAAAAAAACAGAAAACATTAACGAAAAAAGGAAAATTAGGTAAAATTAAACCAGTTGTTCCAATTTCCTCTTTCTCTTCATCACTAACACTGCCTCAAACTACCACCACCACTACGGCAACAGTTACTACAAATTTATTAACCAATGTTACGATTAATCACAGTAATACAATTTCTCAAGAACAAAGTCAGCAACAACAAACAGTCGTGTATGTATAGGGCCTTTGGTTTTTTTGCAAAGATGGGAGCTTTGATAAACTAACCACTCTGATATAAAAAATAAGCTACAGGGAGCCAAAGAAAACGCTTCAAACTACAAAGATCTTGCACCAGAGTTTTATATTTCTTTTTTATAGTTGTTTTTTATTAAATTTCTCTCTTTCAGTTCTCCCATTACACCGACACTTAATTTAATCAACGTATCGACATCGGAACCTTCGTTATCTTGGTCGTCAACTCCAGCAACATCCAATTCTCAACAGAGCTCAAATATCAAGACTTTATCATCCAATACTAATATAAACAACGGTCAAACTCTTGCTTCTTGGCCACCAGCTGCGAAAATAACAGCAGCAACGATCCATCAGGAAGAAAAGAATAGTGATACGTGGAATTTTGGTAAATTATTTAATACAACCTTTCAATTAGTTGGAGATTATGCCGATATAGATAATAATCATCAACAAAATAATCTTGATGAAAATAGCACCGATTTTTTAAAATCAATTCATGATCAAGATGAATCAAATCATCCATATTCTTGCACACCTCCACCACCGGCTCTGTCACAACTTTTATCTTCGTCTTCATGTTCTACATCGGGATCGTCATTATCTATCTCAAACAATTCACAAAGTAAAGAAAGTAAATTGAACAATAATGATGATGACTTGTATGAACAATTTCTTAATCCGTCACATTCAACTTCTTCACCATGGCATGAAACACTAATATCAACAACAGCAACAACATCATCAGAAACACTTATTTTCGCTAATGATAACAATCATCAACAAGGTCTAACGGAAAGGAGTATGCACATTCATCCAGGGCAATCTCACTTAACCGATGATGGCGATCAACAATTTCAAGATTTATTTTTGTTCGAAGTAACTACATTACCTTTTTCTTTCTCCATAAATAATAAGACACCAGATCTTCTATGGAATTCCTACACTGGAAATATGATAAACTTTTAAAGTCAGCCTCTCAAACATCATATTATCTGTGCCTATATAACTAAGTGCTTCCATTTAAGTATCGAAAAGAGCCAAATATTTGAGCAAAAAAGATTAGTGAAGTGAGAATTTTTTTCTATTTTCTAGACTGCTCAATCACCAACTCCTCCAGTGAGCAACGATCATAAAGATGATGATTTTCTTAATGAAGTACTGAAAAATTCATCACCTATTTCCGATTGTTCGGACAAACCAATATTATCATCTGACAGTGATCAAACAACAAGTCTTACAACTCATGTAACAAATGACGAGTTCGAATCACTGTTCTCAACATCAAATTCTGACATTACTACACAAAGTTCATCATTTGATTCTTCATCAACATCTGTGAATAAAACAATCATCGATTGTATTAACGACGATCTGTTATTTACAAATCAATTACAAAAGAAACATCAGTCACCAATCAAATCAAATTCTGATGTACAATTAAAACAGTTATTAACACAAAAATCAAAAACAAAAACAATGCTCGTTACTTCATCATCATCAATGGTTAATAAGAAAAAAACAACAACAACAACATCTAAAATATTAAGCAAAACTGCTTTGGCAGTTTCATCAACATCATCGTCAGTTAATATTTTCAATAAGTCTTTGTCAACATCATTAGCACCGCCACTATCATCTGTTCCATCGCTGACAAATTCCAGCGTGTAAGTTTATTATTTTCTAAATTATTATTAAAATGTTATTCTTCAAACTGTTCTAGACAACAAATTCAAACAAAAGATATAATTGTTTCATGTCCAAAATGTTCATCAGATAAATGTGTTGATATAACAAAATACGATTTTCAGAATTCAGCGAAAAAAAATTTTGGCGTTTGGGAATGTATGCGATGTGGAAATGAAATTTTCAAATCAAATTTGACAGCCGAAGCAAGAAAACGTAAAATTGATAAACTTGTTGCTGATATGGTAAGTTTTAGACAATACATTATTTAATAATACTTTAAACGTATTATGTCATCTTTAAGGGAGAATATGAATGTAAGTTTTGTCACATTTTATACCATTCAAGTACTGAATATTGTACTCATCTACAAACATATCATGAATCATCTAGGCCATTAAATACAACAACAACAATTACAGCAACAGCATCATTAAAAAATTTATCTTCGTCCAAATCCAAAATTTAGAAGTTTTTTCGTCATATTGTCATGATCTATTTGGCTCAATTAACCGGTTTTTTTTCCTGTCAGAGAAAAAACTAAATACTATCGTTGTGATCTCGTTTGATTTTGTTATTTTCTATTTGTCTAGGTTAGTGTTGTTCGTGCAATCATTTATTGTTGTTTTTTTTTTGTCGTTATTTATGCTTGTACTCATCTATGTGATAAAGTGACAACGTTTCTATGATATACGAAAACGGCCACTCTATTTTTCAAAGTTATAAAGTATATATTTTAGAACAACTTGTATTATCTTCTTTATTTTGTTTTGATAATTGCGCGATCAAATTGATCTTTTGAACGTCTTTCTAGTAACGTATTCTATACAATAGTAGTAGCATATCAACTCTTTTTCCTTTTAAATCCTCAGGTTTCATCGTTTACTAAAAATATCGAAGTACCATACAGCATTGTTTTTTTTTTGTTTTGTTTAAACTGTGATGTTACCATTCGCTTTAACTATCGAAATGGATGCTCTTATTTTTTTTCTACTGTACTTAGTTAACGATAAGAAAGGTTACTGAATAAATTATTATTACTGACTCTCATGACTATGCATAGCATTTTTGTTTTTTTAATCTATATCTCAAACATATTTTGTCTATATTGAATTGCGTTAATAAAGATTACTGATATTTTATTTTGTTTTGAAATATCTATTTTTGTTTTGTTTTTGATTATCGTTAACTCAGACATAATACTCAAGAAAAGATATGACAATTGCTAATGAAAAATCATAACGAGTTGTTTGTCTTCTATATATCTATTATTTTCTAATTAACTTCTTTCATCATTGGAGTGAACTCATCTATAGTGTTAAATGATGTTCTACCTTGGCTATTTTGGACTTTCCATTATTTTATTCTTGATAGGTGTATGTGAATTTTGTGCTCTTTTTTTCTTTTGTTCTACATTATCAACCACTAATTTTTTTTCTAGTATCAAAATTGTGAATATTTTGGAAATATGCATGTTTCGACAAACTTTTCTTCTTTTGTTGTTTTGTGCAAAATAACTTTTATTTATTTTTTTGTTCTTGTCTCTTCTTTTATATATATATATAAAAAAATATATATATATATAATAAATGAATAATGAACGAATGGATTTCATTCAGTTTTCGGTTTGTATTGTAGGTGAAGAACAAGCATCAAAGGAAAAATTTTAAAAATGTGGATAGAAAAGCTTAAACAATGGAAAAAGAATCTGTAGTTTTCGTGTTCAAATTATTCTATACGACTAAAGTCATTGAAAGAAAGAAAAATAAAAAATAGAGTTGATTGAATGTCTGTTTTGGTACTTAAATTATTAAAAAGTTTATCTGCGCTCACATTACATCAAAAGTGTTTTTTTACTTCTTAGACATCGGCACTTTTTCGTATCACAGTTAAATCGGATACATGAAACATTAATTTTTTCGTATCAAAGTCGTTGTGTTAAATGTTTTTGATGATCATTTTGTCTTGATCAAATAACAAATATTTATCTTAGAACAGATGTAGAGAATCAAGGCACAATATCCCGAGAGAGTGTCAATCAAATCATAATTCTAAACATTAAAAAAATGCATAGATCCACGATATATCAAGACTGTTGATGATCTGTAGTTGAAGAAAAATAGACAATCTTCTCTGCTGGCATCAAATTTTGAGATAACACAACGGAGCTGCCGCGACTTTAAGTACTGCACAACCATAATCGCTAATGTTGCCTTCTAAAAGATTCTAAAAAGTAGAAAATTTTTTTTAAGAAGTGAAATACAAATCTGGTTTGTTACAACCTTACAGGATTTTCTTGAAAAGTACAAGTTTTTGCGAGAAATGAAAAACAACACAGCGATTAGTTGACAGTCCTGAGTGAATTCCTACAGGAGCTCTGCAAAAATGAAAAATCTTGCAGAACTCCATCCAAACTCACTCTGGAGTTCCAGAGGAGTTCTCCATCCTTAAAAAATTCCTGACTTTTTTAAATATGCTGCTGAACTAATTTGAAAATATGAAACGACTAGTATGAATTACACAAATTCAAAACAGCGTTTCTTTCATGTTTTTTTCGACTTTTTTCGAATACTTCTAATGTGATATTATCGAACAGCTACAAACAACAAACGTTCTGGAGACGAGGAAAAAAGGTCTTGTCGGAGTCCAGCAGACTCTGCTTTAAGTCTAGCAGGAGTCTCTTATAGAGCTCCTGTAGGATTTCCTCACGGGACTCTCGCAAGACTTTTTCCAGGAGTCTCGACTAGGGAGTGGTTAATCAGCAGACATTTTCTAATCTTAGCCTTTACCAATTTTAATAGCTGCAAATGGAAGTTCTCTCTTGCGCATGCGATGGTATTTTTAGATTTCGAATATCTTTTTTTTGTAAGACAGGTGAGATTTATTATAATGTGTCTGCAGGTGTACGTCTTCGATAATAATTTATTTCTAAAAAAAGTAGCATAGAACGAAACAGAAAAATCGAATATATTTGCAGACGTTAGAAATAGGTACTGACATGTTAGGTCAGTTCTCTTAACATTTGATCGATAGCAAAGAAATATACTTTCCAGTACATTTATACATTTGTTTGTGTTCTTACATTAGTTAAAAGAGTATAAACACTTTTAGCGAAAAGTTTGATTTCTTGCATTATGAATAACATTTGACCTGACACTGATATTACATTCATAATCTACTTAATTACAGCGTCAGACAGTGACTCACTCGATATTCTTAGGAGGATTATATGTACAGTGGACAACCGTACAAGTATTTAGAAAAGTAAATGTTTTTAATTTTTGATAGTAGATAATAAAGTTCGATATTTTGACTTTTTCTTTGGACTATAAAGATAATTTCCTTGCATAATGAGAAAACATATCATAAAGTAGGTTAAAAATTGTATAAGGACTCCCTTAATTGCATTCGAAACATTTTTTTGTCAAGTAACTGATGTTTGAATTAAAAATGATTTCATTATGAATCTAGACTCATCCGAACACTTAGAAAAAAAATTATCTAATTTGAGTCTAAAATCTTGAAATATCAACAAATTTTGTTTCATTTAACCCTTTTGGTATAGTAAATTTTTCGCATTTTCTACGGACTTATTTGCTCAAACTTCGTACAAACACACACCCTATGCATATATGCATGGTTGATACACCAAAATACACTTCTTTCTCTGAATCTTGCTACGAGGTCTTAAAAAAACGCTGTAAATTTTCGTGTAAATTATGCAACAGTAATTTTCTAGAGATTTGCTTTTGGTTGATCTCAGTCACTTTTGACGGTATAAAGTAGCTTTTTGGAATTCGTTTCCTTTTTATTTAAATAGCTGAGTGTGATGAGTCACGTTTAAACTAGAAACAATCGTTTATAAAAAAAATTAAATATCTTCGTCACATGCCAGAACTGCTCACAGTGGCCTCTTTGTTAGAGCAAAATTAAAAATTTACGATCATTGAAGGAGAGCGGATGGGTCTCTCACGACTCATTCTCGATCAGAAATAGTTAACTAGCTATGTGGTGTCCATAAGAATCTTTTATATCACTTTTGTTCGTTTTGCAAGAACTTCTGTTACAATGGTCATGGCGCATCATAAACAATGAAAAACTGACGAAACACTCAGATGTCAAAGTAAATTGTTTCTACAGATTTATCCATTATTTTGATTACGCTGAGATAACAAAAGAACAGGCAGTAATAATAAGTAGTTGAAACTCTTATTGTAAATAGTCAAGAAGTGGTCCTTTTGGAATAACGGATAAAAATTAGAAAAAAGCAAAATTCTTCAAGGGTGACAAAGCTGATAATATGATTTTTACTAGATGCCTTGGTAGTTTAAGTAGAAGAAAATGAGAAAAGATTGATTACATTACTAGCAAAAGTATGTCAAATGCGTTAAATCATTTTTTTAAAAATCTACAATAACACGCTCTTATATTTACAATGTATCACTTAAAAGTTCCACTTAAAAATACACGTTTGCTGTTGCGTCAAAAAGTCTATATAGACATAACTGATTAGAACAAGCACTATAAATAGCCATCTCAAACTGCTAAGTTGCGCATAATATTCCACTTATCCATATGAAATTTCAATTGTATATCCAAACTTCGTCTTTATTCATTCATGAGATTCAAGCTGTAGAGAATATACCTCGACAAATGTTTAAAGGTACTACTTACTACTTTCCCTTAATCATCAACACCTCCGCAGTCGGCGGCGGCCTTTTGACATTTACTTTAATTTTTGACATTTTTACCTTTTAATTAATTAATCAGTTAATTATGCCTTTTTATTTGTTTGGCCGAGACACATTAGTTATGGTCATTGATTTACGGATGTTAAGGTTTCAAAAATAAACATTAGTATTGAACTTACGAGAGTCAAAAAAATATAATTATCTGAGCGCAATTTAAGATTTTTTATAAGATTATATTTTGCATTGGGCATCAATTTTATAGAATATACTAATTATCGAATTCTGTGTTCAAAGTGAAATTTTAACTCTACGACATACCTTTAGATATTTAAAAATTCATCAGACAAGAACGACATATTTTTCTCAATATATTTAAACTGTACGGAGGAGTGATTCAGAACTTTTTCCAGAAATTATATCAATAGAGAAAAATTGTACGACAATATTTCAGTTGCTTATATCCAGAAATACTTATTCGCAAAAGAGAGGTAATACATTCATAATACAGATGCTTGAACGATGAAAGAACATAAATGTTTGTAGATTGTGATAACCACTAAATTTTACATAATATTTATTAACTTTTCATTATTGTTAATAAATATAGGCATTGTTCTTGTATTGAAGATAATTGAATCGATTTTTTTATGTTGATAATCTTGATTAAACAGTCTTTTAAGAACTTATGAGGTAATTCTATTAACCTCTTACTTTACTATTTGCTTTTCTTCGTTTCTTGTTAGCATATTTCTTAAAGAGGAAACACAATTAAACCCGGAATTCAGCTATTTAACATTGGTACAACTGAGTGAAAAAGTGTATGTTTTTACTATATTTTGTGTACATAATTATAAAAATGAAGGACAAACAGTAAGAAAACATAATTGAGGACAACGATATGTTTAATGTAAAGAACAAGAGAGAAAATGGCACCTGCTAGTGTTTTTCCGTCGTATAAATGACTTTAATCATGCTCATGAGAATATTGAATTTAAGGATAGTGGTGACTTTTTTTTTTGTTGTTGAATACTACTATTATTTCAACAAGTTGATAGAATGTAAAAAAAAATTTTCTATTCTTTACAAATTCATGATTAGTAACGAATAAGTTATAAAGTTGTCGAAAGAACTTCAATAATGAGTTATTTTTGTGATTTTATCAATAATAATTATGATACAACTGCTTTATTAGATATTTCACAGCTGACAAGTCGATCACTATCTTCTGCAGGTAAAAATTAAGTGCTGCATTTAATATTTACAATATTTGATTCAATAATAGAACATGAGAATTTAGATAATCTGTACGAGAATAAAAATATTTCTATCTTCTATATTCTAAAATATTAACATTTACTCACAAATCTGATATCTCTTATTTTTATAGATTATCGTTATCGAAATCGTATGGCATTTCGTAATGGTGATATTATATTTGCACGACGATCAGATGGCTATTATTGGCCAGGTCGTGTCACATTGATATCTAATATGGAAAATAATAGAGATGATGAATTTTTTAATAATACCAATACTAATTACAATCAATCACAAACACAACAGCAACCAAAAAATTGTTTTTATTTTGTAGCCTTTTATGGCAAAAAGATTGATAATAATTATGAAACAGGTTGGACTAATGATGCGTTACCCTATTTACAATATCGAAATTATATGATAGCAAATAGTTTAGTACATCATTCAATGAAAACACAATTTTTAAATGCTGTGGATGAAGCTGATTATGCATTTAATCAACAATTTCCAATTGTATCATCGATACAAGAACAAATAGTCAATAATACCATCGATTCAACCTCATCATCAACTATTATTGATTATTTTACCCCAATATTTCCCGCCGAAGAAAAGGATAATACAATGGATTTTCAATTACTTACAACCCAAGCGAATAATAATAACAATCGGCAGTCAGATGATCATAATTTTCAACCAGTTGTATGTGATCGAAATGGGCAACATTTAAATTCTTCGGGTATAATTCTTTTTCAATGAAATTTTATGAGATTGTCTATTCATTAAGGTTTTTTTTTCGAAAGATAAGATGTACCGCGACGCTATGAAAACTCCTCTACAAACTGATAGAAGCGAATTTCTTTTTCAGATTTAACTGCCATACAAGTTCATAATCAACAATCAAGTTCAATTGATAATAATTTTTCACCATTATATTCTATCTCATCATCTTTGTTATTTACGAAGACTCAGCAATCAAATTTTACTCCCATGTCTGATATACAACAGCAATTAGGAACAAATCCACTGTTGAAAACAGGAAATTTTTTTCTACATGAAAATAATCCACCATCAACAAAAGAAACTGATCATATGAATACGAATAATTGGACATTTGAAAATTTATCATCATCGTCAATACAAACCCCAGAAAACCAACCAATCTATTCTCCCATTCGTTGTGAAACTACGTCATCAATTGTCACGCCACAAATAGCCAGCAATAATAGTAACAGCAATGTACTTGGTTTCTTACAAACACTATCATCAAATCAACAACCAATATTGAATGAAACATTATCTAAAGCAGCAATGGTAACAATCGTAACAACGGAATTATATTCACATTCTATATTTATCAAATATATTTACGATTGTTTAGCACCATATTGCTATCGTAATATTTTTTGTTTAGATAATGAAATGATGAATCGATCATCGTGTAATTATCCTTCATATTCAACAAATATCTATTTAGTTTGTATTGATAAATTTGATACATCTTTTCTAAAAGAAAATTTGAATAAATTATTGATGAATTCTACAACAGTTAAACAATATTACATCATTCTCAATTCACCAAATCGTGATTTAATAACACATTTTTACACTACGATATCAAATAAGTCAACAATCTTACTTACCCAATTGCATATGAAAATTGAAAATCATCTAGAGTCTAACACTAATGGTTTGAACGATGAGTCTGTACGTTCACCAATTTTACTTTGTTCTGGTGATAGACAAACATTCGATATACTTCGATCATTATTAAAACAAATATGTTCAAAATTAAAATTTATTGAAAATTCTGATTATAAAACCGATGATCAATTAAATTCACCTTATGTAACATCGTCAATTTTAAATTCAACAACTATATTAAATCAATTATGTCTAAATAATACAAAACAATTTTTGTATAAAACATTTTCAAATGAATTTATTCAAAAAACTCAACCATTATTAACTGAATTATTTCCATTAAAACAAAATTCAACAAATACAACAAATGTTTTAGATCAAATAATTAATAATAATACGAATGATAAAACAAAACAAAAAACATTTATGTCCGATATGTTGAATACAATCAAACCACCACCTATTTGTGAATATTATGTAAAAAATATTCTAGAAGAAATAAAAAATTCGGATTTGAAAGATAAAGATAAACGATCGCTAACAATTGACAATTATCCTCAAACATATCACAGTTAATTTTGTTTACCTAATTAATCTCATATGTGAAAGATTCATCAATTTTTGATAACATCCAACGATTTGTAGAAAAGTCCTCATTTTACCTAGTCTACTTGTGTTGTGCTTTGATTTTGATCTTTTAATTCGTGTTACTTTTTCTCGTTTTATTTTATTCATAATTACTTAAAGGGCCCGCCCTCAGAAGTTGTGATTTTCGGTCAAAAAGAGACGTACATGGAAAGATAGCCTGAAGTGTCTACTTTCAGAATCTATATCACTTTTGGTTATAAAAGTGTTTTTTCGCGGATTTTTTGCGCAAGTTTTCTAGGAGCCTCGAAAAATCGGATCTTCAAATAATAGTTTTTTCCTGGATACTTATGCATTAAAATTTTTCTGAACACACAGATTTGTAGAACAAACTTTTCTGATTAACATAAGACCCCGCACAACTCTGTATAAGCGAAAAAATTTCAGACATTTTCCTAAAATTGAGTATTTTATACAGCGTTTAATACAGCGTTTTCTCTATATAAGAGCTACATTTGATGTATTTCCCAAGATTTTTGATAGTGGTTTGTCGTAGAGAGTTTATTCTTTTTTTGTATAAAAGAGCAAAAGAAACTACATGAACTGACCAGCGTCGATTTTTGAATTAGGTCTTAGTTTTTTGTCAGACTGAAGATTTTTAGAAAACTCGGAAGGATTTTTCGGATTTTGGAGGTTGTTGGTTGCCTGGAAAACCAACAAAAGCATAATTGAAAAATCGGCGCCGATCAGCCCATATAGTTAAGTGTCTAGTTTAGAATAAAACAAACCCGAACTCTCTAGCTTGAAATATATTAAAAATTCTTGAGAAAAACTTCAGGATCCTTTTTGGACCTTGATCTCTGGAAAACTCCTAAATCGTAAGACTTAGAGACAGAAAATTTTATTCATTCTCGTAACTCATTAAACCTAACATTTATGGAAAGTTTCGTCAAGATCGGATGTACGATGTCGAAGATAATTTCTGAAGGAGGCGGCCCTTAAGCAAGTATACGAATAATAAGACACTTTTTAGTATAGAACATTGTAGAGTCTCACCGAGAATGAATACATAATTGAATGCATCATGTTATCTAGATATCTAGAAAACTTAGAGAACTTTAAGTCAGTTAGTTAGCCATAGTACATAAATGGGCAGAATCATTGGGATGAACATGTGCTATCGAGTCAAATCGAGCTTTAGTTTGACTAAACATCTCAAAAGCTTTTTTAGAGAATGTACGATACTTCTGATTACAGATATACTTCAACATAGTTTAGTATTTGTGCGTTAAAAGTCGAAATCTAGAAGTCGACATATCCATTTGTTTTATTTTTTTTCCCCATGCAGACATCTTTTATTTAATGCATGTTTAATATTTTAATACGCGTGATCATATTTTAGACCTTCCTCAACTTTAAATAGTAATGTTTTCTTTTGAGAACAACTTTCAATTTAATAATAGTAACTTTTTCTTTTTTTCTTTTTTTCTTTTTTTTTAGTCTCTTCTTTGTAAACATTAAATAGTAAATGATTGTTGTTTTTCTAATTTTTTTCTTTTGCTATTTGTTGTACTTTGTCTTTACTTTTACAACACTTAGCTATTAAATATAACATGAGTGATAAAGTATTAATAGTAACTTCATATTGTAATTATCGAGTCAGAAGAATAATTTTGTTAAAAAGGACAATCTTATTTTTGTTTTTAACTTCTCTTTTTTTGTTTACGTGAACATGTAGAGTAAAATAAATGTCAGATGCGTTTCGAGTATGATGTCACACGATATAGGTTGTGTTCATAGACTGGCATGTTTTCGAGTTATTTTTTCGTGTTGCCACTGTAATTCTTCCACAAGGTTTTGTTGTAGAAATGAATGAAAGTTAAAAACAATAGTAACTCAATTTTTTTCTTGGACTCTTAGTTTTCTTTCTGCTTTTTTGTTATAAAAATCAAGTTTAATGAGAGAATTTTCTTTTTAATAAACCTTTCTTCTCACAAAGCAATAGATTACAGAAAGCAAGTGCGAAATTAGTGAATACATGTAGAAAATATAAATATTTCACGATAATTTGTTTACTCTATACTATATGGCAAAGAGCCATCGCTTCTTTAAGTCCTTCGATAGGTTCACGAGTAGGAATAAATTCATGTCCAACGTATCCATCATAACCAATATCAAACAACGTTTTCATCATTTTTCTATAATTAATTTCTTGATTATCATCTAATTCACCACGTCCAGGATTGCCTGCTGTATGTACATGAGATATAAAATCTTTGTATTGGTGAATACGTCGTACTAAATCACCTTCCATTATTTGAACATGATAAATATCAAATAGTAACTTTAAATTTTCAGAACCAACTCGTTTAATAATATCAATACAGTATTGTGTATTATTACCCGTATAGCCTGGATGCCCTTTCATTGGATGATCAGACACACGTGTATTTAACATTTCAAGACACAGTGTAACATTCTTCTTTTCAGCATAATTAATTACTTTTTTATAACCGTCAACACAATTCGTTGCCGCCACATCATTACTAATTCCATTGCTCATTCCGGTAAATGTAATCACCCGTTTAAATTGATAAGCGGCAGCTGCATCAATTGCATTTTTCGTTGCTTCAATCACTTGTTTGTGATGCTTTCGATTATTAAAACCTCTTAGAAATGGTGGTATTTCATCACCTAAATGAATGGGACACATAGCACATTTAAGATCAACTTCTTTTAGTAAATGAAAATATTTCGGATCAATTAATTCAATACTGTCAAATCCTAATTGTTTAGCAATTTTAATCATTGTCGGCACATCGAAGTAAGGTTCAAAGCACCAATAAACAAGAGATTGTTTTAATTGTCTTCTGCTGTGAAAACTTGCCGACTCAGTGGATTTAGATTTATAAACCAACTTTGAAATATTATAGAAGTTATTAAATAATGTTTTACAGTGTTTTATCATCGTTGACATCTGCAAAAAATTGTACACATGAAATCTGATTGATTATTCAATACTCTACACGACTAACAAACTACATTTTTAACAGTTTTTTAGATCATACTCAAGACTCATGAAGTAAAAAATTCCAAACAATGAGTCATTGTATACAGGTAGATGCCTTTTTTAACCGCAATAAGCCACCGTATCACGTGTATGTCAAACACAGAGGAGGAGGACGGGTAAGATCGTTTTCTTGCCTACAAAATTTTCAGTTGTTTTTTCAATTTTTTCAAATTACATTGAAATCATGTCAGAGCATGCTCAGAAATATCTTTCAATCAGGTTTTTGACGCCTGAGATTACCTACAGGGATTTTGAGAAACTTTTCATTTTTGATTTTTTTCAAAAGCACCTGGTAATATGTGTCCTAGCCCATGACGTTAGAAAAGAACCGAAAAACGTTGTGAGAGGGATCTCCAGGGGCACAGTGGGCATTTCCTCATAGAGCAGGCGGCATTTTTTGCCGACATAGTTTTTTTGAATCCAAAAGCACTTTTTTATAGGTTTTCGCATACGGTATTTCCAGCAGTGTGGCAAAGGTGAGTCGTGG